AAAGATAAATATGATTTTTTTCCTTAATAAATTATTAGCATTTCTTGTACTCAATTTTATACTAATGAAAAACATTTATTGAATTTATTTTCGTACTTACTGAGGGTCACTACAAGATAAGTGAACTTTGGCTATGCACCTTGTAACGATAACATGTTTCCGATACAAGTTATAATGACAACATGTTATATACTGTTTCTGATCATAAATGGACTTTTAGTGACGACAAAAGTCATTGCTAAAAACCTTATTTCTTACAGTGGGCCTTGTTTTTATGTTCGTCCAGAGCCCATAAAATGTCAGGAAAGGGCCTGCAACTAAAATAGTCTTAAAATTTTCTATTTGTGTTCATTTGATCGGTAATCCACTGATCTTATAACATTTGATTAAGTGGATGTCCTTTTAATGAAATAGACGATAAGTTTAATCCACATCATCAAATATTACAAGATTAGCAAGTTACCTGTCAAAATAAAAACTTTAAAAACTTGTTATATTAAATAAAAGAATTTAAACTTATGCTAAATCAACTCAAGGAAAATTTTATTTGTTATAGTAAATAAAAACTAACACAAATTTCTTAAACTTGGAATAATTTGATTTAAGAGTCTCCACAAGTATTTGTTTGGTCAAATTTATAATTTTATGTTTGTTTTGAACATGTATTAACAAACACCTAACCCTCAAAATAAATAATGACAATACAACTTCTGAATCATCAATTACAAATCCTATAAATCAATCTCATTCATTCATTTTCTTGATCAATAGTCATGATTAAAATATGTTATATTAGGAAAGTAAAAAAAGTTTAATATTTAATCAAGAAAGGACAAAATTGACAAACCATTTTTAACTTCCAGCCATATTGTTTGATCCTTTCCCATTTTCAAATAATTTTATATTGGAAACTGAATAATTTTATTTCAACAGTGAAACTGGTATCATGACTAAAACGTTTCAGAAATTAAATAAAATGACTTCATTTATGAAATTGAGTTCATGTTCAATATTCAAAAAAAGAATTACCTTCAGATTCATCTTTATTTAACAAACATTATTGGATTTGACAAATATTTCATTAGTGAGACCGGTTTTATGAATGAATTTTTTTTGCAAAATAAATAATACGATTTCATTAGTGAAAATTGGTTTCATCAATTAAACATTTTTGAAATTGTATCTCATTTTGTCGTTAGTGAAATTTGTTTAATTGTTCGTCTGTATAATAAAATTTGAGACAGATACGGTTTAGTCAATAGAACATTTTGCAAAAAACTGAATAACATGTTTTCGTTAATGAAATTTGTTTCATCATCGAAATTGGTTTCATGGACTACACAATTCCAAAAATCGAATGACATTGTTTCAGTAGTGAAAATTATTGAAATGTTTCCTAACCAAAATGGAATACGTTTCATGGTTTCTAATCAAGATAAACTCAGTTTTACATATGAAACTAAATATTGTTTAGTCAATGAAACACTTCAAGAATTGAATAATAATATTTCATTCATTTTTAAATTTGTTTCATGCTTCCTAACCAAAAAGGAATCAGTTTCATGGTTTACAGCCAAGATGAAATTGGTTTTATTAATGAAACCAAATATGATTTAGTCAACGAAACATTTCAATACCTGAATACTATGTATTATTTCATTAATGAAAGTAGTTTCATGGTTCCTAACCAAAATGAAATTAGTTTCATTTTTGAAACATTTTGAAAACTGTATAATATGGTTTCATTAATGACATTTGTTTTACGAATGAAAACAAAACAATTAAACACACATTCAAGGTGACTTTTGTCTCCATAGTGCTTTTCATTCATCCTTCCATACCAAACCCACATTCAAACACACATTATTTGAACCTTGTGAAAAATGTGATTTTTGTCTCTGTTTGTCGATTCAAAATGACTCCCTTAATTATGATCAACTTTTAGTTTATTATTGTTTGCCCCTTAAAACAATCATATCAGAAGAAAAATATCACATTTCTAATACTTATTAGCTGAGACCTATTGTTTTGGGCCACGTTTTAGTAATAGTTGAAAGGAAAAAAGGGACAACGGTAGCAAGTTTTCACCCGTGGCAGCCATGAACAAAAGTCACAACAACAGTGTTTCTAGAAGTTGTGAGTTTGAGGGCAAGAATTGTCAAGTAAGGTATGAGTTATCTTTTACTTTTCATATAAAAAGAACCGTGAAGGCATTAAGTCATGATTAAGTTTTATGAGATATAAGATTTAATTTGTAAATTCATTTCACCTATAGATAAGTTTTATATTAACCACTGAACTCAGTCATACTAGGAGATGATGACTATATACTGTTAAGACAACTTATTTCACTACATATATATAAAGACAAGCTTTATTTCAAATAAATGGTAATTGAAGTTTATTTGTGAACTTTAATATACATAATTAGGATTAACGATCATTTTTTACCATTAATATCATGATCTTCTATAGGTTTTTATTCGTGAAAAACATTGAATCAGAATTTTTGATCTGATATGTAAAATAAATTGATTGTTGAATGTAAGAAGCTGTGGTATAATATTCATTTTTTTATGTCCCCATTAATAAAGAAACTTTAATAATAATAATTTTGATTAACCTGGATATTCAACCCGCGAGCCGACTAATCCTGGGCGACCATCTGCTTAGCAGATATAGCCCAAAGTCACCGCATTTGAACCTCCATGGTCACAAGAAGATTTTTATTCTTCCTTGGATTTGAACCTGAGACCTCCTGGTACTTTTGATCTTTGAAGCCAAGCTCCATGGCCACAATTGGATTTTTATTCTTCCTTGGATTTGAACCTGAGACCTCCTGATACTTTTGATCTTTGAAGTCAAGCTCAAACCAATTAAACACCACCCTTGTGGTTAAGAGTATATACTGAAACAAATGGTTAAGTTCATAATATTAATATTTATCATAAAATGAAACATTTTTGCAACCCTATTATAAGCTAAATTGGGAATAATAGTTTTGACCCGACATCAAATTCTATCAAAATGAATATTGTATTTGAATTTACAACATGCTTCATTTATACCAAAAAAAAAATCCAATTTATAAAAACAATTAGTGATGATCTTTTTAATAACCATTTGTTTTTCCTTTCTTATGTTATTAACTATTCGTTTTCATTATTTATTATAATTAATCATTCGCTTTTATTGCAATTTATGTAAATTAACAATTTGTTTTCCTTTCTTTATTTTAATTAATTATTCATTTTCATTTATTTAAACACTAGTGATTCTTTTGTTTTATTGTTGGTTATGTTACTGTCTTTTTAACTTTTTTGTCATACAATAAACCACCTCTCGATTTCTCATTCTAACACATTTTCTCTCAATAAATTTGTCTTATCAATTTTTGTTTATGGTTAAGTTACTTGGTATCGTATTGACTTTATGATTTTCTTTTATGTTGTTCTTTTTTTTGTAGTAAGTGACACAATAAAAAATAAGCTATCTAAATGAACTCTAAGGGGCTGTTTATCAAACACTTGTCCAGTAAGTGCTTACCGGTAAAATCTAACACTATTATGTACTTACCGGGTAAGATTTTAGTCCACCAAAACGACGTTGTACACAACAATTTACCCGGTAAGCGCTTACCGTGGTAAGAGTCATCGCCTCACTTACCGGGTAAGACTCTTGATCCTTGTCTCGTTCTTACCGGGTAAGATTATTGGTCCTTACTATATTCATCCGGTGAGGTAATGTTACTTGGTAAGCGCTTACCCAGGTAAACGTTTGGTAAACGGCCCCTAAATATGTCGAAGAATATGAAAGCTTTATCATCAAAACACACATATTATTATTATTATTACATGTAAGTCTTTCATTTGAGTACTCCTTCAATTTCAATGTATTCTTGATTTTATCTATTTTGTAATTTTTATTCTTATCTTAATTATGATTTTTATGTTTTTTTTTATTTCAGGAGTGTAACCCACAATGCTAAAAGGACATTTGAGTATTGTTTATTTTGATATTACATTGTTACTCGTGAATGGACAGTAGATCTTAGTTTTTTTATATTCGCTTCTTGATTATCAATCTATGTTTTTAGTGTTTCATTTGAAAAATCAAAGTTTTACGAGAATGTAAATCAGTTGATATTCTTTGGAATTCGTTTTTTTACCTTTAATGATTTTGAATCACGTTCAAAACTGGATTGATTTCATTTTGTGATTTACTTTTTTGCTTCATACAACTTAACAGTTCTAATATTGTTTTGCTTCAATCTTTAGATTAATACCTGTAAAAAAATGTATCAAAAACAATGATTTAGAAGATGAACCTGATGAATCACCTTTTACACAGGAAAAGTGAAAAAACTAAAACTATTTGACAATCTATGTAATCGTGGTCACGTGATACATGCATCAATGCAAATTCTTATCCAAATTGCCAAAAAGGTAAAAGTCAATGAAATGTTAGATGAAAGATAATAAAATATTGGAAGCAAGGAAATCACTGAATAAACCAAAAAAGTGGTAGATTCTTGATAAAAATCTTAGAATATAAAAACTTCTACGTCTTTTTTTATAAAAAAAAAAAGTAATAATGTTGATAAATATAAACATTTTATTACATTTAATCATGTGTTGTCGTTTTCCTAACAGATGATTATAATTTTACACTACAAGATAAATAACCTTTAGGGTGCGTTTGGTGCGCAGACAGGACTGGACTGGACTGGACAGGACAGGACGGGACAGGACAGGACAGGACAGCTGTTCAGCGTTTGGTAAGACAGGACAGGACAGGATAGAACTGGTTAAAATGACCAATTTACCCCCAGTAGCTGTTTAGTGTTTTTTCACTACGAAATGCATTCTAGTAACACTGGTCCTACTACCACTACAGCCCTAATAATTCATCAACAACAACAACAACAACATTCAGCAATCATAATCAATGTAAACTCTCGAAATAAATCATAATACTTCATTAAAATCCCTAATAAGTACTTCAATCGGAGAAGCAGCGGCGGCGGCCATCGGAGAAGCAGCGGCGGCGGCCATCGGAGAAGCAGCGGCGGCGGCCATCGGAGAAGCAGCGGCGGCGGCCATCGGAGAAGCAGCGGCGGCGGCCATCGGAGAAGCAGCAGCGGCGGCCATCGGAAGTCGCCGTCACCGGTCGCCGGTTGAGCGGTGGAAGCGATGGAGGAGAGGAGAGTGAAGGGGAAGAAGGAAGGTATGCGTATGAGGTTTTTGAGGGTAAAGTGGTAAAAAGTTTCTTGTTCTACTTAGTTCCATGGGTAAAGGGTGGACAACCTTGTCCCACCCTTGTTCTAGTTTGTTCTAGTTAGTCCCACATAAAACCACACCAAACATAGGACAATTGTGTTCTGTCCTGTCCTGTCCCACCCTGTCCAACGTACCAAACGCACCCTTAGAGAAGGTTTTCTTTTGTACTTAAAATTCTTAAAAGCTTCTTTAAAGGTTTTAGAGAACCTTTTCATTTTCGTCAAAAAACTTCTCTATATAAGGGTAGGTAAAGGTTTTAGGGACGGTTTTCGAAGGGTACGTTTTTTGTTGCTTTTAGAGACACTTTTTTAGGGCTTTAGATACACTTCAAAACTTCTCTTAAGGTTAGTTAACTTTTTTTTAAAAGCTTCTCTAAATGTATTTATTAGTGACACTTTTCAAGTATTGATGACGGTTTACAAACGTCTCTAAAAGGTGCTTTCAGATAAGGTTTACAAAAAAAAACTTCTATAAAGTATTGGCTTTAGTGATATTTTACCTAAATCTTTTCTAAATATGTCCTTTAGTTACACTCTGCAAACCTTCTCAAAAGATTATATTTAGATACAAATAATCAAAACTTTCTCTAAATCTTATCTCTAGATACACTTTTAAAAGATCAATTTCTTCTCTAAAGGGCATGTTATTATTATTTTTCATCCATATTTAAGGTCTATATTTGTATATATCTTATATATTATATTAATCAACAAAAACAACATAAAATTCTCAAAGCAATAAATTTATATAAATTTATAATATAAAAAAATAAGTCCTCAAAACAATCCCCAACATTCAATCAATCTATAAAATCCATTTTCTAACATCCTCCCGAAACTCCTCGCAAAACTTGATACTCTACCTATCACCTGTCATCTCTTTTCTAACTTTTTTATATTGTATGCCCGAGTAGAACCACGTTTGTTACTTTGCACAGATGACGAAGCCTCATCTGATTGCAAGGTCTCTGCAAAGGTGGTAGCCATAATGCAATTTCCCTCTTTATCTACAACAAGTCAATAAGCCATCAGAACATTTCATTAGCAAAATGAATATTTAAAACCTACATATAATTTCAAGTTTTACGTTTTCCTATTTATACATCACAAGGCAGAAGAATATATTAAACCTGCAGTTATCCTTTTTATACAAAGTCGACAGACTCCTCAAACAGAATATATGATCATAATCACACTTACTTAAAACCTGAAGGAAAATAGTGGTAGAACATTAGTCAAAGTATTATTCTGTTTCAAACCAAAATCGAACCTAATAAACAGATCATTACAAGTAAAAAATGTGTAATGATTTTAACAACCACAATCCAAGAATACTTAAAAAGCATAATTTTTTTTTCCCTTGGGGTGAGGAGGAATCTTAGATGAACCTCTCTGTGAGAACATTTTCAATATCATCAAATATAATATAATATAATATATATGTAATCAAGCAAGTATTATTATAAGAAAAGTTAATGAGTTGTAAGACATTGGTAGGTGAGGCCCATTACTCATTGGGACTTTCCACCTCACGTCATGTATTTCTCCACCTCACACACATTAGTTCCAGAAACAATCTCATGCATTCCTTTTAGAAGACATTTTCGCTTTTCTCTTGACATTCCACCAACAATTGGAACAACCTTAATATCAATCCCTATCACCACCTGCTTCTGATGATCAGTGATCTAAAAGGGGGAATACATATAAAAAAACAGAAAAGAATGAACAACAATTTGTATGAATGCTCAAGCCAATGTCTAGGAATAGAGGAGTAAATAAATAAGTAAAACATCAAATAATAACACTTAGGATAAGAACTTATCAGTTATGACACATGCAAACTAACCATTGGCCAGGACTTACATTGCAACTAACCATCTTGATGATGCATAAGAATGCACGCAAACAAAATTTCAACAATACTAAATCAGTTGATCATACTTCTTTAAGTTTCCTAAGCAAGGCCGGCATGCATATGAATAAGACCTTCAATGCTTGACATCATAAAATATTAGAAGAAATACATATAGATCAATGATAACAACAATCATACTTCTTTTTTAGTCAAAAGATGATCTATTACGTGGGCATCTTAAAAACATGGGAGGATCACAACCACTATTATCTCGTTATATTGTATAATAAATTCTAGAAATACAGTTTAAAAATACCATAATGAGTACCTGAAGTACAAGCTCCCTGGTGGGAGTAATAACAAGTGCTCTTAGAAGACCTCTTGAGACAGCTTGTTCATTTGTCTGTCCTTTTTCTTTAACTTGACTCTCAAATTTAGCTCGTTCTTCAAATTTATCAAATTAAAGAGAGCAGAATGCCCCTAAAATACTTGTAATTTAAAATGTTTATCACAACGCAAGTCCAATGAATAGACCTTTCAAACTACTAAATGCTAGTGTATGACAATAGGTAGGATGGATTTCAGCTAATATAATCACTTCTACAACAAAATTAGTCATAGCTGGTTTTGGCCTTTGATTTTGGCCTATACAACAACTTTACTCCTTTCATGTTAGAATATTGCCTATGGTTTAAATTGTTTTATCTGGTTCTATACAGTTCCTTAGGACTTGTCGATTTGGAAGTCTAGGAACATTTTCAAAGGGTATAACTGGTTTTGGCCTCTGATACTGGTTTGAATCAGATTTTTCTGGTCTAGTTTACTATGAAAGATATAGAAGATTGCTTGCTAAGTATAGAAGTCTACAGAGTAGAATTCCAGAGATCTGAACTGAAGGAAGTGCTAAATCGACTAAGTCTAACTCTCAAAGACTTATCTTCAGATCTCTGAACTTGAACACTTATTCTTTAGAGTTATTTCAAGAGAAGACCCAAAGAGCGCACAAGTGTCAAAATAGAAGACGAAGTCTGAAGACCTTGAATTCAAGGTTATTCTAACTCTGAACGAGAGGATGATGTTGATCCCGTATCTTTCCTAGTTTATGGGATTCGGTTTCATTATGTAGTTTATCTTATTCTTTATATTAATGATTGATTCATTATTCATTCCAGTATTGTAAGCACATTGCTCTGCATTCTTCATATTCAATGACAAATCAAAACCTTTGACTACTTTTGTTCTAACCACAAGGGTGGTGCTTGATTGGTTTGAGCTTGGCTCAAAAAGTCAAAAGTACCAGGAGGTTCCAGGTTCAAATCCAAAGAGGAATAAAAATCCCCTTGTGGCCACGGAGGTTCAAATACGGTGACTCCGGGCTATCTACAAAGCAGGTGGTCGCCTTAGAATTAGTCGACTCGCATAGCGGGTTGGATATCCAGGTTAATAAAAAAAAAACTCTTTGTTCTTACTTTTTTCTTAATAGGGGTGTTCAAAAAAACCGTTGGACCGCTCAAACCGGCCGAACCAAGTCAGACCGAACCGTTTTTTGGCGGTTTGACCGGTCTGGCGGTTTGGTTTGGTTTGGAAAATAGTAAAACCGGGCGGTTCGGTCCGGTCTACGGTTTGGAACTTTTTTTAGGCGGTTTGGATCAAACCGACCGCCATATATATATATATATATATATAATTTAATTATTTATTTTAATATTAGCAAGTCCAACTTTTTTAACTTATGGACTATAGTTCAAACATATCTCTATGCCCAACATAAAGTCTAACATCTAACATAATCAAAATGGATATTTAATCTAAAATTATAAATTATATATGTTTTTTTAGTTTAACATTTAAAGTTCATCAAAGGCCCAAACCGCCTAAACCGGTCAGACCAGACCGCCTTTTCATGGTCTGGTTTGACTGGTCTGGACACTTGATGTCAAACCGCTCGGTTTGAAAATTTTATAAACCGCCATTACGGTTTGGTTTGTGGTCTGAGAGATTAAACCGGCCAAACCGGACCGCGAACACCCCTATTTCTTAATATTCTTGATATACGGACACTTTCAAAGATGACTCTTTCCAATTTCTCGATACTTGAATCCGACGTCTAATGACAAATGCCATGCACACTGATTAGCTTCTCGATTACATAAAATATTTGTTGCAATATTTGTGCTAAGATGAAAAAAAAAACAAAATAAAATAAAGATCCACCCGTCACACACAATAATAATGTGTATAAGTATATCATATGTTATTCTTGTGAACTTAATACAAATTTAAAGGTCTCGTTTGATTTGTAAGATTCCTATGAAATATGAAAATTTTGGAAAGACCAATTATATTGACCAAATTTAATTCAACTGTTTGGTTTGTACTTTGAATGAAATTGAATTTTATAGATTCCACTGTTCATAGGTTTAATATTCCATTGCATATGCGATGACATTAAAATCCATTCCTACCAACTTTTCAAAAAGACGAACCTACCAAAAAAACACTAGCCTACCATATATGCTTGCTCATTGCCACACTGTGACCACCATCAATTAATATTATCATTAATTTTATCATGTTATATTTATAATTGAAGAAAAAAAAAAGTATGAAAAAATAAAAAATAAATATCTAGTCATTTATTATTATTTATTTCAATATCGAAATTACATTAAGACAACCAAACATTCAAATTAGGTAATGAATGAAAATGGTAATCACTGATCATGCTTGGTTCAAATCAATCATTATAACTAGGGCTGTAAACGAACCGAACGTTCAGCGAATCGTTCGTGAACCGTTCGGCGGGAAGTTCGTTTATGTTCGTTTATTTAATAAATGAACGAACATAAATAATTTTTTTTTGCTCGTTTAGTTAAACGAACGAACATGAACAAGAGCCTCGTTCGTTCATTTATGTTCGTGAACGTTCGTTTATTTACCGTTCGTTTACGTTCGTTTATATTCGTTCGTTTATGTTCGTTTATATATTAAATTTAATATGTAATATTTTATTT